TAATTAAACAAACCCTTTACAGCACAGATTGGTTAATTAAAATTGTAAAGGAAAAAGGTTAAAGAAAAATCATGGGCGCAGCGCAACAAGGAGAATACCACAAGATCGTGATGAGCGGTCCCCGTGGTTGATACTGAACGCATTGATGCATTGTTCTGCTAATCCTAACTCTTTTTTTTTTCTTTTCAAACAAGTACAATTTGGGATAAGCGATCAAAAATTATAATTCAAAATTTACTCATTATAAGTTATTAAATGCATTTACCAAGTGATTTATAAGATTTAATGTCTCTTAATCTTGATTTACGAGATTAGGGAGGGCTTTGTCTTACTTTCTTAGCTTGCATCTTTAATTTAGACTTTGTTTAGTATAAAGAAAAAGATTAATGCATTCTTTGGTTTCAATATACTATATAATATATTTATTAAGAAATTATTATTTTTATATTTGAATTTATGGCGAAAAAATTTCAAAAGATAAATTTTAATGGTTGAACCAGATTATATTGTGTAGTGTGTCGAATCAAAAAGTATATTAATCATTGTTTTTAGTATAATAGCCATAAGTTTTTTAGTTTAATTTTTAATAATTTAGAAACTTTAAAATAAAATTAAGTAATTTTATAAATTAATTAGGTTTAGAGTTTTGACTTTTATTTTAAAATTTTATACTAATAAGATAACAATTTTAATTTTTAATTGTTAATCTTGATTATTTAAATTTTAAAAATCAAAATCTCAATCATAGTACACACAGAATCTCAATTTTCCAAACATTGGTTTTAATTTCCTGGTCATGCAATGAAAAACAACATGATTAAAAGAGGCAACATTTAACTTATGTGGTACAAAAAGGAAGAGAAAAAAAACAGACACTTCAAGCTATTGCTATAGAGTTAATTAGGAAATTCCATCATACCTTTAGCTTTTTGCTCCTCTAATTGCACATTTTAAAAACATGCATTTAACCTACCATTTGAGGACAAAAAGTGAAAAACAAATCTATCATTTTTTTTTAATATATCTAATAATAAATTATATTAAAAAATTATTTTTTAAAATTTTTTTCTAATTTAAGATTTAAATTTAAAATTCTTAATCAATTAAATCTCCTTCTCGCACAAAGAAAAGACAAGAAAAACATGGCATAATCAAGGCAAAATTATGAAAAAAGAAAACTTCAAAGATATTTCCTGGGAATATCTCAAGGATTTTTATTTTTTTGTTTTGGGTTCAAAATTAGTCATCAGTAAAAATTTGCCACGTAGCCTCGTCGTAAAAAGAGA